TCAACAAAGCAGGCAGAATGAGCTATAATGGTAAATTAGAGAGACAAAGGCAAGTGATAGCTGTTGATGGCTGCATGTTTGTGTGATAGGATTTATATGCTGTGATTTAGACCGTTGCACTCAATGGGGCTTACTCCTGAGTCAACATAGTTACAACTGAACCACAAAGGTCACCTTTTTATGAGGTGAAAAGAATAGCCTACTCTCCACAATCTTGTTAAACAGATTTCCATTTTACCACTTATGCCGAAGAGAAGCAGACGAATGAAGTCAGTCGCCATTTCCAAACATCCAAGTCAGCGTCAGAAGAGCTTGCAATTTTAACTACGGTTTACAGTGGAAAATAAACCTGTGCCTCTCTGTACTGTAACACGGCTGGTCAATTCTGCTGCAAACAAGCAAACCCAATGGGAAAAAAGCTTTCAGATCCACAAGAATGGGGAAAGTGTCATCCCCTGCCAAACAGGAGTTCTCTATCCCATGTAGAAGTGGTAGCTATCCCAACTCCAGATCACTAACTTTTTACAGTTCAAGTTAGTGAGGAGAAAGTCTGACATCATTTATCAGCTAATTATCCATACTGGAAAGGAGAAAACTGTTATTAATAAACATCAGACAGGTCGGTGTAAAACGGGTCCCTTTCTCCTTATGGCTTATTGACCATTTAGCGAGGAAAAGAGCCATCCCTTAAAGCAAAGATTCCAAATGTTAACTCTCAAGGAGACAGGTTCTGATGTCTATACACGTTTCAAGTGCACTCAATCAAGTCAAATGGCTAAACAGTACATTGGCCGGGCAGAGAGCTGACTCTAATAGGGAAAGCCACATAATGGACACAGACATCAATATGCAGGTTACCCTCTAGAAGCTCTCTCCCATCTATACATGTTTGCAGCGCACCGTGTGTTCATTTTGAATGTTGCATTTAAAAACGTTAAAAGTGGACCAATATCTGCAAAGATATCTGTGTTAACAGCCGTTGGGTGCTAAAAATAAATAAAGCCATGTGGTGCATTTTGACACAAGCCATGATTTTGAAAACAAAAAAGCAAAAAAAACAAACCCTGGCAGACTTTTTCATGATTACCACACCAAATACATGAAGATTTATAAGGAGGTCATGAAAGGAAATTAAGTGCTGAGCGAAGGATGCTATATTTCTTCTTCATGGGGTTAGCTTTCTCCATTAAAAACTTGTGACAGCAAGTGTGAAACAAGAACAGATGATTTTACCCCCAAATTTATTTAAAAGCTTCAAAGGAAGATTTATTATGACTGTCCTTCCGATATGTCCTTTCTGGGCAGGCAGGTCAGCTCTATGAGAAAACCCCCTGAGGGCATGGGATTTCCTTCCCTTTGAAGAGGTCCAAAACCACAGAGAGGAAAGAGATCAGGAAAGCCAGGGCAAGCCTCCAAGTAAGTGCCCCATGGGACCCACAAGCTCTATTCTGGCTCAGTATTGTTGTCACAATAGGTATTTCCTGTTTCTCTCTGCTCATTCCACGGAATGTCAGAAACCAAGAAGCTCCCAGCATTGTGTCCATCCACTCACCACCTCCTTCCTGTCTGTCATTCCACATTTTGCTGCCCATAATGTATCTGACAAGATTTTGTTTTACAAGAGGTATTTTACCTCTTTTTCCTTCAGAACACATGGTCACAACAACCTGTCACTCATTTCTGATGTTTCTTAATTTTTATTGCCTGGTAAGGTTATCGTCCTGAAGCAAATCCATAAATCCAACAGGATGCCACAAGACTGTCAGCTAACACAGGGAATTAGAGTTTACAAGCTTTTCCCTTATTCAAACCTGAGTGTGAAAGGCCTCAACCGTCAACGGGTACAGCAAAGGTTCCCAGCAGTTCTTTCATGGTCCTGGTACTGAAATTCATATTTGGGTTCCCCTCTGGAAGGTGCAATCCCTGTGAGTTTCAGTGTACTTAATGTAGCAGCGTAATGGAATGTAAATTGGAACATTTGTTCCAACAGAAATGTTACCTTTTCTGTACTCTCAGTCCAACATAACGCTGAAGTAAGATCTTTGCCTTTGCTAACTGTGAGGCTTTACAATTCAGTCATTTTGCATGTTAGTGAATTAAATGCAGTCCTTGTCTCACTCTGTTTTAAAATCTCAGCATAGGATGATTCACATGACCAAAAACACCCTTCTTAGAGTATGGCCACCTCAATGCGGTATCAAGGTGGCATCTTGCTTGATCTCACCATTGTGGATTCAGAGAGTTTCTCCATACAAGTTAAGACAAACTAAAGAACTCCCTCAGACTGCTTGCTGTGCCACAATCTGCCCACAGCAGAGTGTTCAGACAACCGGTTGACTCCAGCACGTCGTGAATTCCCTTAAAGTTGCCATAATCAGAGGACTGATTTTGTTGTTGTTTTTGCAAATCAATCCTAAACTCGTATGCCTAACAGGTGTCCAGGCTATGAGCCATAAGAGCAAGGGGAGAGTATCATAAGATGTGAAACGACAATCTAAGAAGAGCTGGACCAAAGACCCATCTAGACTAGCATTCTTTTCCCAACTGCAGCCAGCTAGGATGTTTCCAGGAGGCTTCCGGGAAGACAACAATAGCCCAGTGCTGAAATTCCAAGATTATTTCTCACACGTTGTTTGGTACTACACACAGTCAGGGTGGCTTCATTCAATTCAGACCTTTGTCTGAATTGCGAGGGGGTGGGGTGATGTAGTTAGTTGTTGACTGATTGACTAATCTGGAGGAGAAACATACGATCTTTTACAGATATTCTTAAACACATTTGCCCTGTTTAAAGATTAATACATGTCCTCAAGACTGTACTTTATGTTGCACCAAAAGTTTCTCTTAAACCAGGGGAATGAATGTTTTCGTACTCCAGTAAGAATCTGAAACTACATGAAAAATCTTGAAAGCCCCTCATATTTCTTTATATATGGGTATATAAAGCACTTTCCTAGCAATATATGATTTCTGCCGCAATCCTAAAAAGCACTTACTGGGGAATAAGCCCTATTGAGAATAGTGGAACTTGCGTTCAGGTTATTGTATTACACAGGATCTCACTGCATGGCATCTTTTCAGAATAACTGCATCCACGACATCTGGCTACCATCATGACCCATTGCCTACTTCTCTGGAGGCACTGCTTCACAATTAGCGAAGCTGTTGTGGCGTACATGCACCATCATCCAATGTCAGCTGGAGACACCTCTTAAATGCTAGCATTGGTCTTTCTGAAAACCAAACAGCCACCCTCCCCCCATGGGCTTCATAAGCTGTGAAGCAAACCAGACTTCTCCAAGAGAGGCGTGAGAAAGACAAAATACTGAAGAGAGGAAGGGAGTAGAAGGAGATCCTGCAAGGGAGACGCTGTTGCCACAGGAGACCCTAAACTATATGCAGGACAAACCTGCACGCTTACGTGGACAAAAAACTAGTGCCAGTGTAAAGCTAAGGTGTCTTTACGAGTGCCTTGTCTGTATATCAGTGGTAGAACCAATGTGAAGGACAGAAAGAGACAGGGATCTTGGAGCAATCCACACTCTTCCAGGGACTCAGCAGACCACTGCACAGAAAGGATCTCATAGCACCCATTTTTTAATGCTAGTGTTTAGTCCTCCAGCCTGCAATGCAATACGAAAGAAGTGCAGGGCATGTGCAGAGTGTCTGTTCTTCGCCATGCTTCCGGGGTTCAGAAGGGAGTTGAACCCTGGCCTTTTTTATATAGATACTGAGCTTTGGTCTGCGGCAGCTGTTCGCTTCTGCTGCTGTGTAATAGCCTCACAAACAAGAGACTCGCATGGAATAACAGACAAGCCATAGGATAAAAGAGTCAAGGCTTCCAAAGCCTTCTGCTAACCTGGGCAGGAGGGGAAAGAAAAACATTTGAGGGTGAGGGATCAAGGGAAAGCTCTCCACACTCCCCCAGAAAGAAGAAACTTCGGTGCACTGAGGCAGAGAAAAGCAAAGCCCCTTTGCAGGTGGTTGTTTTTCTTGCAGGGCACTGAAGTAGATATAGAAATCTTGCTAGTCCTTCTGTTCTCCCTAGGAAATGGAGTCAGAAAGTGGCAGAGGAGTGGGGAAGCTGTAACTCACATTCTTACATCTGCCTTATGATAGCGCCAACCATCAGAGCTTCGAGACATCTTTGCAGGAAAAGGCGCAAGCAGTTTCACAGAAAGCTGCCAACTGGTAGATCTATGCCACAGTTCAAGAGCCCCAAGATCACCTTTACATCTGTCATAGAGAATGATGAAAGAAACTACCAAAAATAATTTTGCCTGCCCTGGCTCCCAAAGGGAATCAGAGCCTGGTGAAAACACCTTCAAGCCAAAAAAAGAAAAAAGAAAAGAAAAGAGCCTCCCTCTCTGTAAGTAAATAAAGACCTGGCCGATGGAATGAGTACACTTCTTTTCTACTCCTGTCAGTGGACCCACAACCACCAGTCCCCAGTTAAATTCAGGGCAGAAGGCATAAGAGAAACAAACAGCAACAAAAACCAGACACAAACACAGAACACATGGGAAGAGACAGTCTAAAGACACTGTGGTGATTTGAAGGTGGGGGAGGGATAAAATCAGACAGAAAGAGCTCCCCCCTCCCAATGTGAACACTCTAGGAACTCTGTTTTTCTGGGAGGGGGGGCGGTTCGGTTGCCTTGCTATCTGGTAAAGACGCATTGGAATGCTGGATGTGTGCAGCTGAAGGTGGCTTTGGAAATGTGGGCAGCCCAAACTAGAGAAAGAGGGTCGGGGGCCAGGGAAAGACGCGGGGAGGGGGGCAATTTCTGCAGATGAGCAGGAAAGCGATGGGAAGCAGAAGGCGGGCGGACGGGCTGGCGACGCGCGGGGATCCACAAGGCGAGTGGATAGGCAGCGCGGGCGAGAGAGAGAGAGAGACAAATACGAGGGGTGGGGGGCGCCAGCGAGGAAGGGAGGGAGGGAGGGAGAGAGCACGCCACAGGGACGCCACACGGACACAACGCTTAACCCCTGGCTTACTGTGGGCTCTTGGGGTAGAAAGGCAGGGTGACATGGCTGAGGTCCTGGATGTCAAAAGCGGTGGGCTCGGCGGAAATGGCCTGCCGCTTGGTCCTCTGCTCCCCTTGCAAGGTGCCGGAGCCCTGCTGGTGCGCCTGCTGGGTGGCGGGCCGGATCACGGAGCGGTACTTGTCCAGCTCGTTCTGCAGCTTCTGGATCAGTTCGTCCTTCTGGTCCAGCTCGAGCTCCAGCTCGTCGATGAGCGCGTCCCGCTGCCTCAGCTCCTCGATCTTCTCTTGCAAGGCGTACTGTAAATCCCGCAGCGTCCCCATCCTCAACCGCCACCGCCTCCACCGCCTCCCCGGGGCTCCTGCCGGCGCCCCCCTCGCCGCTCGCGGTAACTTTCCCCCCCGCCCCGCAAGGTAGCCTCCGCTGCCGCTGCTGCCGCCGCCGCCGCCGCCGCCTGTCCCACTTCAAGCCAACTTTGCCAATTGCTCTGCCGATCGACCTCCCGCTGCCGCCGCCGCCGGCAGATCGCGTTAGCCCTTTAACGCACGCCTCCAGCCTGGCTCGCTCGAGGTCGGCGCCTGTCGCTCGGCGCGGCGATCGGGGAGCCGCGAAGCTAGGCGAGCAGGAGGCTTCCCGGGAACCTCATCCTCTCCGAGAAGGGGGCCCCACCACTGGCACACACTCCACCGACGGCTTGGGGGGTTAGCAACGACTTCTATCCGCCTGCGTCAAGCTAGACTGGAGACGGCGACAGAGAGAGAGAGAGAGAGAGGAGAAGGAGACGGAGGGAGGGAAGGCAGGCAAGAGAGCGAGCAAGGAGCGGCTGCGGCATGCCGTACCACACGCACT